GAGACTCTATCAAATCAACGTCTAAACAGTCCTTTATCAACAGAAAATGCAGCAACAATCAAACTCAACTGAGCACATGAACATGTACAAACTTGACAAAATACGAGCAAATAGTCATCCCAACAAGAGATCTATTACTAACCATGTTAGGCTGTGAGAAAGGAGTACAGATCAAGTTAGAAGAGTCCATCCATCAGGCACTACATGATCACCATTGTTATACATAAATGTTTCATACTGAATGAAATGCCCCCTAAAACAAGTGAACAAAATAGTAGCCTAAAGCCCATTGCCCACTGGATAACCCTGAGTCAGGGTTACCCTCACATTGACTCAAGACCCTAGAAATTATAGGAATAACAATACCCATTGAATATAGAGCAAACCTTGAAATAGGAACTGGAAAAGGAGATTTTCAACTCAAGAAAAATAGGAGAAGTAACAACTCTCAAACGGAACTTCCAACTCAACAAAGATTGGAGGGGAATTTTTTAACATTAAATTGTAGTGAAGTGAAGCAAACTCAACCTATTGCACTTCCACGTTGTTGCAGAAAACAAACTACAAAAACGTAAAAAAAAAAAAAACAATTGCCAAAGTCAGGCCTCCTAGTTCTTCAAAACCCTGTAATAGGAGGGGCCCATTGTTTGGGTTTAAGCTCAAACAAGGAAATATAGACGTAAGAGGGATATATTTTTCTAGCCTTTGTGAAACCAACTCAGAAAATAGTTATAGATTAAGGACAAGATAGAATAGCAGCAATTTACTTCAAGCTCTTCTCAATTATTACACAAGTTTGACATGGAACGCATTTGGTGCATGTTTTGTCTACTGTCCACTACTATTATTGGAAACCCAAGAACATCCCAAATGTGTTGGTTAGTGCACATGGATCCAGAACCCCTCCCTCCCACCCGGGTTCTGCAAGCCATGCACATGGATGCGTTTGAACACGAGAAAATCTGTTTTCTTGGGGAAAAAAAAGGTTTATGTTTGTCATGGTAGTTTGCACAAAAATTTCTCAAGACACTTGTTTCTCAATAGGTAAGCTGAGTTTGAACATGAATGGAAAAACACACCTTCAATTGTGTTTATATGACTAGAATAAATAGATTGTAAGCTCAAAACCACATCATTCCCAAAGAGTAATAGCCTGATACAAACTAACTCAGCATAGCAAAAAATATAAAAAAAGAATGCTATAAACATAGAGAAATCAGTAGGCAGATGCACTAGAGAGGTGGGGAATGATAAAAGACTATGGAGATTATCAGTCTACAGATGGAGAAACAGGAAGTGAGAGCACCCTCAACCAGAGCCCTCGGTTGACATAGTTCAGTCAGCAAGTGCTCGGTTTTCTCTTTCTTTCCTCTCTTTTGCTACCCCTTTCCTCTCTTTTGCTACCCTTTCCCCTTCGCCCCAAAAAAATTTTAAACTAGATCTCCAAATTTCATATGGATAAACTATTCTTGAATCGCTCTGAGAGAGTAAACATTGTCGATGAGACAAAGTTGAACACCTGATCTTCCATGGCAACAAACAAAGACTCTTGAAGTCCATATAAATATTAAATCCAACACTGACGAGAAAACAACATTCCAAGCAGAACTCTAAAGAAAAATATCAAGCACATACATTTCTGAAACCAGAACATAAAAACAAACATGATACAAAATCACATTGCCCAAATAAATAAAGAGAACAAGTAAACGGCCACTGAGCTCACAACGTCACAAAAGGAAACAATTAAATTTTTCATGATGATGAACAAGCCCCACTATAAAAATCACAAATGGCTTCAATACAACAAGGTGATCATTCACATCTCTATTGATGACCACATTTCACTAATCATTCTCATATTATAGAGAGGCTTGAATTGTGAACTGAACCATATCAAATCACAAATTCACAAGTGATTAAATAACAAAACAATCAAGCCCAACCTCAACAAAAGCAGTCATTCATCAACATCTAATAACAAGTATCGACACGAATTACTTTATGGGAAAGTTTACTATAATCAAATTCACTATATAAAACCATAGTCCATTCAATCATCATCATCCAGTATTTCAACAAGCTAATTTTTCATTCATCTTTTTACAATAAAGTTAAAAAACAAATATATGCAGCACTTTGCCCTAGTTGGAAAAACCATTCATGGAGATCCTATTATTCTCTATAACCATAGCAAAACAAACCACAGTTCAGAGCACAAATTGAAAAACTCAGAAACCAGGAAGATAAAGTACCCATTTTCTCTCATAGCATAAAGCAATAGAAACTTCAAATAATTGGTGACAGAAGAAAATGGATTTACCATTGTTACAAGGCCCCATTTACCACGAGAACTAGAAGAATAGCAGGAGAAAGAGGGACCAACAAAACAATAAAAGTGCTCCAGCCAAAAAAAAACAAACCTTACCTTGTTGAAGAAGATGAAAGCTTTCAATTGGATCTTCTCTTAAAGGAGTTGAGGTATCTTTTATGAGGCTTGCAAATGGATCCTCTCTTGTGGGACCGTGAGAGAAGTTGCAGAGGGTTAAGAGAGAGTGTCGAGGGAGGCTTTGTGCGAGAGAAGGTAAGGCTTTGAGAGAGGAGCAGGGCTTTGTAAGAGGGTTGTGAGAGAGGGACTAGGGTTTGTGAGGAAGGGGCAAGGGTTTGATGTAGAGTGAGAGAGGGGCAAGGGTTTTGTTCTTCTTTTTTTTTATAACGTTAACCTTGAGAGGGGCAAGGGTTTTGTTCTTCTTTTTTTTTTATAACGTTAACCTTGAGAGGGGCAAGGGTTGACATAGAGAGTTGTGAGAGAGGGGCGAGGGTTTGACGTAGGTTTTCTTTGCGTTTGCCATTCACAAATGAAATATTATTTCGGGTCCACACGAGAGTAATGGACCCCCAATGACATACTCCCCTCCTTGTAGGATGGGGATTACTTTTTACACGATTTGTTCCTTGTGGTGGTAAAATCTTTTCCTATGGGAGAAGTTTCCATCGACTTTAAGCATGAACCAAACGTGCGTAACTGTATGTCTCATATGAAAATTGTTTCATGATGCAAGTTTTCACACGAACCAAACGACAATGTCTGTTAATGATAACAATATGTGGGTCTTTTCATGCCTTCTCTTTTCCCTCCTCTCTTTTACTTGTATTCTACCTCTCTCTCCTCTTAAATTTTGGTTATGGGGCATGCTATGTCTTCATCTAACAAATATCATATTGGGAAGAATTGAAATTGGGAGAAAACATGAAATGGGTATGCTCAGTTCCTTGTGACTATCAATTCTATACAAAATATAAAATTCTCCATTGCATTCTGCATATGTTAGTCCATACAGCAACTTTCACAAACAAGTGCCCAACCATTGGATGTCCATCACAGTGTCTAAAACAAGGTACACATCAAACAAGCGATATTTCTCTCTTCTTCAACCTAATCCACTTCCCATGCATAATAAACACAAGAACCATGGTACACATGCATTGTCAAATAAGCCACATACTCATTCTCAAATAAGTTGACACTGGCCAAAATAAGTAGCAAGAACCATGGTACACATGCATTGTGTTCTCAAAAGAACCTTACACAAAAGGTAGGGTAAATATATGGTTCTTTAAGCCCATCAAGCAAAATATATAAATAAGATCATGATGCACCAAACTCCTAGGAAAACTCTTTCATGGCTTATTCATCAGGGAAATGTGAAAGCTCAACCAAAATGGAGGAAAGGGATACTAGTAAATTAATCTCAAACTAGTCAGTGTCATTCGTGAAGCACTCAGTTTCATGATAAGCTATGATGCTAACAAATAGTGATATAACCAAGCAGATTGTCGGTAACATCAACAGCAGAAGTTAATATTTGGAGGCTTGAATACATTATAAAGAAAAAATAGGAAGGAGACGTAAAATGAGTAAAGGTAAACATTTAACAGACTACCATGAATAATTGCAGATTACCCAAAAACTTGCTTTTTCTAATTTCAATCATTTATAAGGTTCTATGGGCATAAAACCTAGAGATTAGTATGCTATGGATCACAGATAAATCACATAAATAAAAAACGAGAGATCATATCCTTCCTAATGATTGTACAAATTACAAAATACAAACTAGCAAAGCTAGTTTTCATTCAATAATTTCTCCAAATTGATGTTGTTAAAACATGCAACATTCACATTTGATAAGCATACTATCCATTAAAATATGAAATTAAGAGAAGCAAAGAGATGGGGAAAAAGAAAACTCTGGCTCAACAGAAAACCATGAGTTCAAACTTCAAAGTAACCTTAATTTCACAATACTATGATATTAGGTTACGTATCCATTTATCAGCATACAATCAATCATGTTAATAGTTAAATACTCAAATTTTAAGAAATAAATACGGATCCAATAATATAGAAAAGGAACCAAAAAAAAAAAAATTGAAATTAATAAGAGTATACCTCCTAAGAAAGTTGGAGAGAGAGACTACCAATGATCAATAAAACAAAATAAACACCATAAAAAATGTCTAAGATTTACAGGAGATGAATGGACAACAGGAATGCCAAACAAACACCAGCCAACAGAGATAAAAGCACAAAAATTAATCAATTTTTACTCACAAAGCCCCCAAAAACACCACCAATAATCACCATTTTGATTAAATGCAAAGCCCCCAAAAACACCACCAACAACATGGAACCCTAACACTGAGATATGAAGTGTTATTTTTTCTTTGAGTGGAGGAAATAGTTCTACAAAGAAAAGGGGAAACAGAGAAAACTCTCCTTTATAAGAAAAATGGCCTAGATTTACAGGAAATGGGGAGATGAATGCCCAAACAAATACCAGCCAACAGAGGTAAAAACAGAAAAATAAATCAATTTTTACTCACCCATTCCATTCAATCAAAACCCCCAAAAACATCATTAACAACATCAAAACCCTAACACCATCTACACGAAATACAGTAAATGGGTCAAAAAATCGAGTTAATCTTTGTCATACCTGATCTGAGAGTCAACGAGAGGAAGGGTGAAAGCAAGCTTCTGGTTCTGAAAAAATGGGCCAAAATTGGAGCCAAAATTGATGCGGTGAAGAAGGCGGCTTGATTGAAAACTTTCTGATCTTCGAATAGTTGAGACAAAATGAGGCAACGGGTGGAGCAAGTAGTATCGAGACACTCTAGATTTGTCACGAGAACCATTCTATCCTGCGTGCTGGACCGCATTTGTACAACATGTGTTAATATGTGTTATGGAGTATAAAACATTCATTTTAAAAAGGGTGCGGTTTGTATAAGGCCAAGGATCTAAACAATCAAATTAGAGCCTACTTTCAAATAGTGTCTAGAAATGCAGTTTCAATATCAGAAATCCTTGTGATAGCCTTAAAATATTTTCTATATTTATTTATAAAGTTTAAAGGTGTAGATCGACATATTTATAAAAACTTGAAAATATTAAAAATTGACGTTCCAAAAATGCGTTACAAAATACACTATTTCCAAAACTTGAAATCCATTTTTTTCTCATGACCATGCTTTCGTGATGTCGAGATGATCAATTTGAAAATATTTGGGCATCAAAACAACCTCTTGTAGTGAAATTTTTGAGGTAGGCTCAAATTTGATTGTTTAGAGCCTCAACTCTATATAAACTTTCCCTTTTAAAAATAGATGCGTCCATCTATAACTAATGATTCAAATGGTTTCTTAATATAATTACTATTTCTAGTTTTTAAATTTTATTTATTTATTCATATTCACGATCTCCATCTTAAGGATTATATATTCTCAAAAAATTATGATTAAATTATATTCAAAATATATATTTATAGCAAAGCCGCATTTGTACATGTGCAGGCTTGGTAACATGCTAACCGCATCCTTGTAAAAAACGAACTTTTTGTATATTTCGGACTTTCGTTTTTTCTTTAGAGTAAACATATGCTCATTTTGAGCCATTTTATGGATATGCAAATACGGGTTTTGGACAAGTAGTGGTGCCAATCAGCCTGAGACCACAAAACCTATACTCAAAATCAGGTTTTACGTATTCAAGATCCCAAACCACCCATAAGCGTTAGACCAAACTTGAAGTGCCCTTTTTTTTTGAGGCTTCCTAACCTCCATCTAAGGCCGCATATATATTTCTTACATTTAACATGGCATCCAAGCCTTGTGCCATTTTTTCCATAATAGATATAATAGATTTTTCTATATATTTGATGTATGATCAAATTTAGGTATCTTATAAACAAGTAATGGACAGGTACATGGTGAGTCAATAACCCACCTATGGATATGGTCCCCCTTTAGAATTCATCTTACACATGGATTTTGGATCTAAAATTTTAGGGTTTATTAATCGGATGATCATCAATCTAGAATTTTATCCATGCTTCCATAATAACTCTACTTGGGTAAATGGGAAAGCAGCATATTCAAATTCATCAGTGGACAGGGATCCAAGCCACCACATCAAAGTTGTGACTTCTAATAAGGGCAATAAATACGGTTTTCAAAAGAATTAATGCAAATCGCGTCGAGTCATTAGCTGGAACAAGTCTATATTTTTTAATTTAAAGTATGGACAAGTCTAAAATCACAATATTTATTAAGTTAAACATATAGACATTATTTTATTTGTTAAGGATTCTTTTATAATTTATCATTCATGGGTTATTTTGGATTTTAATTTAAAGTCAATGTTAGAATAAAGTGTTGTAGAATCTTCAAGTAACAAGTTAAAATAATATCGTTTCGAGTTCCCATGAGGTAAAGAGTCAATCATGTACAGTTTCTATACATAGGAATTTTGTTGTATGAATATAGCTTGCAACATAAGAATTAGGCTGAATACCAGCTAATTTAGTTACATAAGAATTTTGTTGTATGAATAGAGCTTGCAATATAAGGTTAGATAGGTCATTTATTCCTTTCTTATGGGTAATGTCTAAAGCCCATGAGTGGGGTTTATATATATTGTACATCATTATAACAATAGCAGTAGTTGATGATATTTTGATTAATAAAATTGAAAATTTCCTCTTGCTTAGTGTAAAAAGAGTGAGAGATTACGCAACTCATAAGTCGTAAGGCATCTACGAGGAGGTGTAATGCATGATATAGGGTTAAACGTCCCTTCCTTTCCTTCCTTGACCATCTTTGAAGAATTTTTCCTTTTGTTGATCGACCAACATGATCGATGGCAATAAGTGTTGTGTCGGCCTTGGATCTATCCTTTCTAGATGTTGGTTTTACCTCAGGAATCATCCTCCCTATTTTGAAAGAAATCATTTTCTTGTATCTCTTCAACAATCAACTAACAAGAACGATTCCAAAATCATTTTCAGAGTTGTACAACCTTGAAGAATTAGATCTCTCGAGCAATTTAATCGGAGGTAGATAGCCTTCTAGTTTAGATCATCTCAATTCACTAGGGCTCCTTTTAGTAACAAATAACATTTTTGAAGGAACAAAAAGTTGAACATCTTAGAAGAGAGAGAAAGGAGGGGGAAGAACCCATAGGTCTACGGCGATGCTTCAGAGGGCCGAGTGATGGAGGAAGCGAGGGATTAGGGAGATGATGCACATCGAGGTGTTTAACAATAGGGGTGAAAGGTTTGGAGGAAACTTTTAAGTGTTCTGTGTCGGTGATAGTTGGATCTTTTTGTCCACCATCTAATGATATTTTTGGCCTGAGTGATTGGGCAAGGCAGGCATGGCAATTGTCTTACATGCCAATGGTGAAGCAATTGGGAGAGCATAGATGTGCATTATTCTTGTTAGAAGATGATGAGGCCAAGAGGGCCTGTTCGTATGACGATTACAGGTAAGTTTCTCACTATTTGCCTTTGGAATAGTTCTACACATTCATCTTTTATTCCTAAAAATGCTTGTTAGAATTCTTTGGTGTGCCATTTAATGCTTAGAATGTGAGTGTTTTTCAAAGGCTAGAAAACTTAGGTGGGGAGTTTTTGGAGGTCTATTGTGGCCATCTCAGAACTGAGGATGCATCTTTTGTGAGAGTTAAAGTTAAGTGAAATGTTTATTCTTCTGCTCCAAAGAATAATAAGCTTACTGTTGGATCTGAGGATTTCTTGGTTAGAGTGGAGGTTAAAAGATTAAAGGAGTGTTTCAAACCGAAGGTAGGGTCCATTGCTATTGTAGAAAAGAAAAACCCAAATTCCAAGAAAGACTTTGATGGTCAACCTCTGGATTATAATGATCGGTTGACGGTTAAGAGAGATCGGCTAAAAGCAAGGGCTGTGCCATTGAAAGTTGAGCAAGGGAGGGACAGCATCAGAGATGGGCCATTGAGGCCAAGACGAAGTCCGCAACTTTTTGTCCACGTGGACGGACATATTTTTTTCATCAAACAGGAAATGGTAGGTTCTTTCCAAATTCGAAATTGAAAAAGAAGTGGGTTGCGGAAAAAAAAAAAAAAGACAGAGGTTGATGGGTGGGTTTTAGCATCTTATATCATTGAAGATAAAGGCAAGCTTTCTATCCTTTTCTTATGGCATAGAAGTTCTATTCTCCCCCTTATCCAACCGTCCATTCTGAATGGGGGTTAAGATTGTCCCAATCACAATGTCAAGTCTCTACATTATTTTTTAAAAAAAAAAATTTTTTATAAATTGTTTTGACACCAAATTTTGGACGTCTATTTCTCTATTAAACTCACACTACTGAAAAATATATAAATTTTTTTTTCCAATAAAATAAAATGACCAAAATACCCCTAAAAGATTCAAGGGGTATTTTGGTCATTATTTTTATCAAAAATTATTTTCGATATTTTTTATAGGTGCGCCCCAATGATAAGATGGCACATACCAAATTTCATATTCATACAATTTGTATATAAAAAAAATTAAAAATAAAATATTTTGAGACGTCGGATCTAAGATCAAACGGTGAGTGGCTCTCTTGATCAAAATTCGACGGCTGGATGGTAGGGGGAAGATAAAACTTATATGTTGTAGGGGAAGCATAGAAACCTTTCCCTAAAGATAATACTAAGGAGGTGTGGTCAATGAGATGCCTTCTTTGGACGTGTATAGAAACCATAATAGTAATTTCCTTGAAAAGGATAAATCGGTAAAGGGAGGAATATCTTTAGAAGTCGTAGCAGTTTTAATAGGAAATGTAAATGGTGGTGGGTTATTTCCAAAGCATTATATACTAATTTATGTACTCTTCGGGGCTATTTGGGTACGTGAAAATCTATTACAAGGAAACATATTACGAGGAAATATGAGATTTATCATGTTTGGGTACACTTCAGCAATAAGAAAATAAAAATAAATTACACAAGATTCCCCCAAAATATGTCAAATCTATTACACATGCTGTGAAATATATTACACGTTTTACGGGTAATCTAATTATGTGCATCTCTTACCCAAAAAAATCCTCTACCCCCAATTTGGATTGTAGCCCTCATCTAAAACTATCAGCTCTCATATAAAAACAAATATAATAAAAATAATAATTGAGAAATTACACAACACAATCATAATAAAAAATTTCACACAACATAATCCTCATAAGAGATTAGTAAAAACTCAATTGAAATAAAATACCTCTTTAGTCTCCTCCAATGCCTCAAAATTTTCTACTACAACTACCAAACCTTCTAGTTTACTAATCAAACTTCTTCCCATTTTTTAACTTGTACCATCAAGATTTTGAATTGGATATCATAAATTTATTGCTTACTTGAAATTATATAGAGAGACATTTGAAAGACTTCTATAAAAAATAAATAAAAACAAGGCTTATCGCAATAAAATTATGTTATTCCAATCATATTATTCTAATGACTTATCATGTTGAAACCAAAGTCTAATCATATTAGAAAATATGTGATTCCATGTAAGTGCCAAAGGTAGGAAATGGTGTCATGATGACTTTAGAATGGTATAAGTTATTATTAGAAAATATTTTTGGAATGGTGATGATGTTATCATTAGAAAAGCTTTTTGAAATGATGTGATGATGACTTTAATTCCGCATTTCAGTAGAATTTTGTGATAAAAAAGAAAGAAATGATAGTTTATAGGCAAGTGCTAGTAAAATGTTGGCAATGCATTTCCCATATTTCTTCCAGATATAGCCAATAATAGCAATGTATTTCCCAGGTTGAATCTAAATACTATCCAAACAGTAACACTATATTTGTAGGTAATATATTACGCAGTAATATATTATGCCAGTAATATATTTTACAAACAATATATTTCCAAGTATCCAAACGATCCCTTACTGAAAATGAAGGTTGC